GGGGGGGGAGAAGGTGGTTGTTTGGATTTGTTCTTTTGCTTTTTGGTGTTTTTTGTTCTGTTTTGCTTTGTTTTTTGTTGTTGCTGTTCTTGTTGCTGTTTGTTTTTGGTTGGTTTGTTTTGAAGTTGTCAACCAACCTGTTGCAACCACCAGACCGACGCACAAAAAGGTTGCACTGTTGTTTAGGCTCTCAAATGACCGAGTGATATTGTCAATAACTCCCCGTATTTCGTCGTTGACTAGGCCTAACGACGAGCACCAATATATGGACATCGTGTGCTGTTATCGAGTTACAGGCTTCATAAATTACAGGACTCTGCGACTAAATAATTCGTCGCCGTCGTTCCATAAATTGTCGTATGTCGAAATATGTGGTTTTCAGGAGGAGTGACAGTAAATTATCTTAGTACGAAATGTTCAATTCCTCCAAATCCATGACTAGATCTACTTTAATTAAGAAGAGGGATGAGACTATGACCAATCGAAATGCCTGATCAATCTCTACAACATACTTGGTTTTCATTTTTTTAAATCGAAATTTTGACATACGACAACGTCGAATGACAGCAACGAGTTGTTTTAATGACTTTTGCCTTGCGAAAAACACTGATGTGGGTGCACTAGTTATTGAGTTATTGTCCAGAGCTGTCCTTATATAGGTCACTGCAACGGGAATATAAATCCTGACGACAATCGTTGTGTTTGGATAGTTGTTGCAGTAGGCTTGGCTTCCAGTGGCCGCATGTTGTTCTCCAGCATTGTGTATCGGTCCTATTCTTGGAGTGGAATATTTCACAGTACGGCGATAGCATAGATTCTAGTTTAGTTTGAAGCGTGCGCATTGTTTTCTTCGTTCTCTTTTTTTTTAATACAGTGTGTTTTTAAACGTCTCTGGGAGATAGCTAAAAACAACAAAAACCACAACATTGATTGCACGTAAAGCAAATTTGGAAGGTGGGAAAGGGGGGGCATGATTTAGAATTCTATCATTGTAGAACTTTCCGAGATTTCGAGTGGGTTATAGCAAAGGTCAGTTTTATGGCCAGGACTGTTGCGAGTAGTTCTGGACTTTGTGATATCTGCAAGCCGAGATCAGTGTGTGTGCGGGGTTCTGTGGTGTTCTTCCATGTTTGTGAGCATTTTTGCTGTTGTTGTTGGTGGTGGTGGTATTGTGCTGGGGGGTTTTTACGCTAGATATTTTACGTCCCCATCGACACAATTCAGATTGTTTAGGAGGCGGGCTTCCAACCCTGCCTGTTAGGGCCAACCACTGCTGAGAGAGCACGAATACTTTCACACATTCAAACATCCATTCATAAAGAAAGGCATTAACAAACATCATGTTCTGATCAACAAGGGTTGTTAAACAATTTCTCAGTATCCTCCAAAATGACCAAATTTGTCATATTTAGGTTAAAAAAAAAAATTTTATACTTATAATAATATGCTCAGAAGTGGATGTTTTAAGCTGGCCTGTTGGTTCATTGCATCAGTTGTTAGTTTGTTTTTGTTGTTGTTATTGTTTGTGTGTTGTTGTTGTTTTTGTTTTTAGTTTTTAAAATGTGTTTTTTATTTGTTTGTTTCTTTTTTTGTTTTTCTTTGTTATCTTCATTGAGCGGGGGAGGGGGTTGCTGATTATTTTCTGAGGATGGAGGTGATTGAGAAGAGGAGGGGTTTGGTTTGTGAGTTTGCATTTTTCTTTTTTTTGGGGGGGGGGTGGAGGGGGATAGTACGTAAACGACTGAGATATGAACTCCAGGCCTTTATCAAATCTTTCCAGCTGTGTTAGTTAAACTGAAGCTTCGATCATGTCGACGAAACACTGCCAGCACTGGCCTCTCACGGCCATTCACGAGAGCGGAGACAAGGGCTCAGACATTCGACTGTTGTGTAGTCTGACCAGCAAGGCTATAATGTCCGAGCGTCCAGAACTAACGGACTCTTTCTCCAATGTGATGATCCTTAACAAACTGGGTAAGCGGCATTGTTAGAGACGGTCTGTTTACTTACAACTTTGTTTAACCCTATCCGTACGCCCCGGGGTCATTTTGCACCCCAGGATTGTATTCTTCACATTTTAGAATACTTCTAGTGCGAAGATCTCTTTGAAACTTTCATATATATTTCTGAAAAAATCATTTTTACAGACTGCTATGCAAAGCACACAGATCGGTTTAACGAGTAAATTTCCTGTTTGGAAAGTGGTGGCACAGAGTTCCCCATGTCGTATGGATACGATAGTAAAACACGTCGTGCGTAGAGGGTTAATAATAGAAACCTGTTGTTTAGTTACGTTATTGGGTGGTTGGGTGGTTAGGATCTTCGCCTTCCCACAGAGGAAACCCGAGTTCGATTCCTGAGTAGGGAGGGAGGGGATATTTTTAGCCTGTATCTTGGTCTTTCTATCGATATTTTGTATCCCTCCCGTCCCGTGTTGGCCCTGGCAGATAGGTTCAGAAGCATGCCTCCGTAATGATCTATCTGAATTATATTGATGGAAATGTAAAAAAGACAACATTTTTAAAAACGTATCTGGTCAGCAACACTAGCATCAAACAAGAAGGTACAACATACACTATAGATATAGGACATAATATATTTCTTGTTTAACGTTGGTCCGTGGCACGTTCAGCCCCAATGCTAAACTCTAATTCATAGTGATTAGCGGATTTATGGTTTGCTCCTTCTATCCCATAAAACAGCTATCGTTCTTATCTCTCCTCCTTTTCTTTGAATGTTACTCTATAGTAACACCTCTAATTATCGGCAGTATTGTGACCAGAGTGTGATGCAAATGCTGTTGAACTCTTACGAAAAACTAAAATCTAATTTCTTAGTAAATTGACATATAAAAGTGTAACGACTTCCCCTCAGCTTTAAAAAAGTTGGAAAGGGATGGGCTTTGCCGAAAAGGAGAAGCAATCTAGTCAAGAGAATGAGGCACAAGGGGCCCTCTTATATAGGTACAAGAAGTGTATAACATATATGATGACAATGAGAGAGAAATATATGTACATAAGAATAAGACTTATAACAACCTGTGGCAAGCAAATATGGCAGCAAAGATCGCAAAAGGACCAAACGTTTATATGAATATCAACCAGACCAGACCATCAATGATTTATTTATAGAGGCACCAGCCATCCATGTCCAGGTGCTGTTTTAGCCTCATATGAATATCAAGCAGACAAAGAGAAACGCAACACAAACGAGCCACGCACAGAGCAGTGGGATCTGCAAGCCTACTGAACGTCTCTGGTACATTTGTACAAATCACGTAACATTCCATGTTTCTGCTTCTACCACGTCGATTACCTTCTATCTTCTGAATACGTCCATACCTTTGTTACACGTTTATTCTTTCTCAAAGGGTGCGACAACGTTTGGTTTCCGAGAACGGAAAAGTCCACTTTTTACTCTACGTTCGCCCGCGATGCTGTTTTGGCCGGAAGTTGTTCGTATTTTCCTTTCACAAGAAGGCTTGAGAGATTTGAGTGAAGCACATTTTCCTGCTTTCCTGTCCCCGTCACACCAACGCTACCCATGCAATAACATGTAGGTCTAGTGGTGTTCTAAAAAGAGGAGGCCCACGCGGCCCAGATTTTGTTCTTGAGAAGCACATAGCTGAAGGCATATCATTGTTGCCATATACGTTTACGATCACTTCCTAGACGTAGTCAGTGTACTTCCATTGTACAGGCAGACCTTAGAAGATAACAGATGTTGCAATGAAATTGCTACCTGTAACTGATTGAACCTGCAGACGTAGATCTAGTTCAGCATACAATAATAGTGCTTCTCTGTTGAGCTCTAAAATCTATCTTCATTCCTAAGATTCGTAGAAATTCTTGTATTGCAGCTCTGCGTTCAAAAGATGGCCAAAGAGCGTAGTGCACTGCGTTTGGAACATGGGTCTTTTAACAAGGATTTATCAGACTTAATGTAAAGTCTTTTGAGCTCATAGCGTAGCACGAAAACGTAGGTGGGACCCGCAAGGTATGTCTTTTACTTCATTGTACCGGTCCTTTTCTGAATGTGAGGAGGCTGAAGTGTGCAGACCCACCTGGTATTGTCGTAGTCCTCCACCAACAAGATGCCTGCCCTACAGGATCCGAGAATGGACACCCGCCACTAATTACTTTTCTGGAGAAGAGACAGATGCCTATTACGACTGCTGCTTTGACCGATATGGAGATGATCACGTCATACGAATCAACGAAGACATCGATGAAGAAATTGATGAGGGCGTGATTGGTGATGATGATGAGGAGGAGGACAATGATGAGGAGTATTGTCTCGTGGGCTGTCGTCCCAAAGAGGAAGACGATGATGATGATGATGATGATGATGATGATAACCCCAAAAACATGGGAGATGAGAAACAGCATTATACTGGTACTGAAACACATGTAGATAGCGCCAAACTCAATGACAGTGTTGGGGCTAGCGAAAATGATGAGCTGTCTCACAAAGATAATGCCGTGAGAATTTCAGGACGTGGATTACGGAATAATCTAAATCAGCTCTCGACTTTCGGAAATGTGAACCGGACAGAGCGTGGGTCGGAATCTGCGGAAATTAATGTCATCTCAAACAGCCCAGGTCCGACCTACCAAGAGGCGGGAAAAGTGACCATGAGCTTCAGACCATGTGGAAGTCAGTGTAGGTTTATTTCTCTATCTTTCTCTCTTTTTTAGTCTGTCTGTCTGCCTGTCTGTCTGTCTGTCTCTCTGTCTGTCTGTCTGTCTGTCTGTCTGTCTGTCTGTCTGTCTGTCTGTCTCTCTCTCTC